GGTGGAACAATGAAATAAAAGCAGAAGTAAAGTCCAAGAAGATAGCTTGGAAAATTATTTAAGGTACGGAACTGCAGACAACTACCAAATCTATAATCTGCAAAGAATCAAAGTCGAAGACATGGTATTGCAGCGAAACGGAAAAGTTGGGAAGAATTTGGAAACAAGATGGAAGAAGGCTACCACTCTAACGAAAAGTTATACTTTAAAACCCTGAAGAATTTAAGAACCGAACTGCATGACAATGACCACATCCTAGATAGATGAACGCAATATTTCAAGGATCTACTGAATATCCAAAACGATGTAGACATTATCACAGAAGAACCAGAAGAGGTAGAACAAGAAGACTAAATTCAAGATGAAATAATTATAGCAGAAACAAAAGAAATCATACAAAAGCTTAAGAAAGGTAAAGCGGCTGGATTTAATAAAATCACAGCAGAAATGCTTAAAAACAAAGACATATGTTTAAAAAAGAAAGGTGTGAAAATCAAACTCAGGCAAGCCGTTATGAGTATATATAAACATACAAGGAACAGAATCAGAACCGATAATATGGAATCCGAAGAGTTCACAGTAAATGAGAGTCTACGTCAAGGAGGAGTTCTAGGCCCCATACTGTTTAACATTGTCTTGGATTACATAATTAAAGAAACTAGAGCAAAAACATTAAAATTATATGCCGGACATAGAAATCTAGATATGTGACTAGTGTGGATCTCAGAGTGTACATACGCAGTCGATCTAGTGATATTTGGGATAAATGAAGAAGCACTCAATCGAAATTTACAAGTATGAAACGCTGCACTAATTAAACGAAATTTGAGGATCAGTAATGAGAAGACGAAAATAATGGCATGTGGAAAAAATAGAAAACAAACGAAGATAACACTGAACGGAAATACACTTGAACAAGTCGATACTTACAAATACTTGGGAGTACAAATAGAGAACTGAAGAAACTGAAATAAGTTCCAGAAAATGCTGCTCATGCATTTTTGTCAAAAAAGAAGTATCCCAAAAAGCCAAACTGACCATATACAAGACGGTATTTGTGCCGATTTTAACTTTTCGTGGTGAAAGTTAGACGCCTACCGATAAATTAAAATCAAAAATACAGAGCATAGAAATGAAGTTTCTTAAAAGAATAATGGGTATAACCAGGTTAGACAGGATTATAAATGAGGCAGTCAGAGAACATCTTAAGCTCCAATCAATTATTAAGAAAATTGAAGAGGCCCAACTAAGATGGTACGGACACATGGTTAGAATTAATCAAGAAAGTTTCATTATTATCCTGTTTTTTTATAGCGTTTTCCGCCTTCCGGTTCCCAGTTTCCAGCTACGTCGGTCATTCCATTCGCCAGGGTGAAGGTTTCTTTCCGACATTGCCTTCTGAATGCCGCCCAGCCAGGATTGTTTTGGCCTTCCTCTCTTCCTTCTTTCCTTGGCGTCCATTTTAAAATTTGGTTTGGCAGCCTGTCGTCGTCCATTCTTTTCACATGACCATACCAGATCAGTTGTCTCCTTTGAATTTCGTCAATGATGGTTGACTTGACTCCCATTATATTTCTGATATGGTCATTTTGTATTCTATCAAGCCTTGATTTTCTAGCTGATCTTCTCCAGAAGTCCATTTCCAATGCAAGTAGGCGTCGCTCAAGGGATTTAGTAAGTTGCCATGTTTCGCATCCATAGAGCACTATACTTTTAAAGATGGAGTTAAAGAGGAGATGCTTTCTTTGATTTGATAGTTCTTTTGACCATAGCATCGGGTTTAGGCATCCTATCACCCTTTTTTCTTTCACGATTCTTTGCTCTATCTCTTTTTCGGTGCGCCCACTCTTGTTGATTGTTGTTCCCAAATATATATATATATATATATATATATATATATATATATATATATATATATATTCCTCACAGTTCTTGATTGTTTCATGTTCGTTGACCATTAGATCTTCTACTTCATTCCCGATGCATAAGTATTGCGTTTTGTTTCTATTTACAGAGAGGCCCCATTCTTCATATGTTTTAAACAACCGTCTCGTCATGAATTCTAAATCTTCCTTGTCTGCTGCCACTACTACTTGGTCGTCCGCAAAATGTAGAGTGTATAATGTTGTATCGTCGTCAAGTTGGATCCCCATTCCTGAACAGGATCTTCTCCAGTGTTTTAGTGCTTCATTTAAATAGATCTTAAATAGTATTGGAGAGAGGCAGCATCCTTGTCGTAAGCCTTTTGTTACTGGAAATTCTTCTGATAAGGTGTTGTTTAGTTTGATTTTTGATGATGCTTTATTGTATAATTGTTTGACTGCGGCGATGATCGTGCTATTTAATGAAGATCGTTCAAGAGACTGCCACAGCTTTCTCACAGGAATCGTGTCATATGCTTTTGTGAGATCCACAAATAAAAGATGTATTTCCTGGTTTCTTGCAACTTTCTTTTCATTCAGTTGTGTTAGGGTAAATATGTGGTCTACGCAAGATCTTCCAGCTCTAAATCCTGCTTGCTGTTCAATTTCATGAGGTTCGTATTCTTTCTCAATCATGTTTTTTAAGATTTTACCAAACAGCCTGCTAAAGGTACTGGTGACAGAGATACATCTGTAGTTTCCGCAAATATCTTTTGGACCTTTTTTGTGAATTGGAGTAATCCATGCTTCTTTCCAACTATTCGGGATTTCTTCCCCATTTAAGTATCTTGTGAATAGCACTTTAAGATAGCTTATTAGTTTTGGTGTTCCGTTTTTTAGAAGTTCTGCTGGTATGTTCTCCGGCCCGGATGCTTTGTTATTCTTCATCGATTTAAGCGCTTGTTGTATTTGTTCTTCTTCCACGTTTACATATTCACCTTGTACTCGTATTCGTTGAGGTGAGTCAGTATTATAAATATCTCTGTCTTCATTCAGTTCCCTTGCGTAATGATCTTTCCATGTATCTATCTGGATGGGCTGTATTCGACTTTTATTTGATGTGTCGGTTTTCAGGGTTTTTATTAATTTCCATGCCGCTGATGATCGCGCTCCTCCGATGTAACAGTCAACTTCTTTACATTTTGCATCCCATGTTTCATTTTTGTTGTTCCTTGTCATATCTTTAAATATTCTTTGCTGTTCTTTGTATATTTCTTTATCTTCAAGATTCTTAGTGTTCAGCCATCATTTTGTACGCTTCCTGTTTCTTATTTCTTTGCTCTTCAAGCTGTGTATTCCAAGTGATTTTTCCCGCTGATCTGTGGACTGTTCTGGTTTCTTCGCCTAGAGCTTCTTGGGCTGCGTGGTGAATACAGTCAGTTATATGTTCGTATAATTGGTTGGTTTCAGCAGTTAGGTATTCCTCGAGTAGTTTTTCATTTAATCTATTTTGGTATAAGATTTTAGTGCTATATTCTTGTAGGCTTCTGACATTATATCTCTTCAGATTTATATCAGTTTCTTTTGGAGTGTTGATGCTTTCAACGTGTCGGTTAAATGGAATCAGAGTCTTAGCCGCAACCAAATAATGGTCAGATCCACATTCCTTACCCCTGTAAGCCCTAGTGTCCTGGATGTTTAATTTAGTGTTTTGTTTTGTAATGACATAGTCGATAATAGATTTTATGTTTCTAGTAATTATTATTTAACTTTGAATAAACCATGTGGCTTATTCCCAGTTAAATAACAATTAATTTAAAATACAACAAGAAAATAGCTTCAGAACAATATGTTTCTAGTGTCTTGGTGCCAAGTGTATTTATGTATATCTAGAGAGATTTTAAGAGATCAAGAAAGACCAGTTAAAAAAGTATGGGAAGCCAGAAGACAGACCAAGAGACCAAGGGGCAGGCCAATGAAGACATGGGATGATAATGTAACCTCAGTCCTAGAAACTAGAGGATTCAGCAAAGAACAAGCAAGAAACCAAGCAAAGAACAAGAAGCAATGGAGAAAAATTGTACATGCAACTAACTAAAGACATTACACCCGACACCTTAGGGTAAATGGGTTAATAGATTATATATATATATATATATATATATATATATATATATATATATATATCCTTTCCTGTCCGACTAGACAAGAGTATCAGGCTATCCCTACAAATCTTCTCTGTTTTATTGTCATACTTCATCCAATTGGCTAATTGTACATTGTGAATGTTGTAGTATGTGGTTTAAGTAACTACCTTATTTCTAAGTTAAGACGGCTTTATTGCCTTTACAAAGAATCGTTTGTTTTACTCGTAGAAGGACTGCAGGTAATTTTTAGAAGATAACTCGGGTAAGTAATGGTCCGATAAAAAAGAGATTATTTTCTAGTAATAAATAAAAAACGACTATGAGTATTTCTTCTTCATCATTTAGTCCTATATCTGTTTATTCGTCAGAATATCCTTTTCAGTCCGACTAGAGTATCAGGCTATCTGTACAAATCTTCCTGATGATCGATGGCTGGAAAGGTTTTTCTTCGAAAAAGAAAGATCGATGGTGTATTTTTCTTCAATAACTCCTTACATCAATCTAAAATTCACTTTTATATGCTCGTATTTAAAGAACATAGTCATTGATTTATTATTTTATTTTGCTTACGGGAAAATGAATACTTGAAGGGTGCGTTCCCAATATAGAATTATAAAATAAAAATAAACATATCTGGTCGATTTAAAAACTTGTCTCAGGACCAACAACCTCATGTAAAGTGTTACGTTGCCATGTTATCAATTCCACTGGTAATTTTAACATATTAACAAATAAGATCGAATAATGTAATTTAAATTTAAATTAATAACATTTAACGGGTTTTTACCCAAATATTTATTGGTTCACAACATGTACACAACATGTACATCTAGACACACGGATGATGGAATATAGAGTCCAAAAACGATTTGTGATATTGGGTGCTTTAATTATATGCCTTTTATAAAGGATTTTAAATATTTTTTTAATTTAAAAACTGTTTATTACTTACCTTTAATAAACAAATCTATTAACAATTGATTTTATGTAGGGATGGAGGTAAAGATGGATATGAATTCAAGGAAATATTAGATTTTTTTGAGTTGTGCAAATGTTGTAAGTGCTCATGTAATAATTCTTTTACATGCAGAGCGGAACTGGTTAAAAAGATTGGAATTGTGGTGGCATTTATGGCTACGCACAGTGGTCTCACAAGGTGGCAGAACTTTCCACAAAATATTGAATCTCCCGAACAGGAACCGTAAGTATTAAATCTGTATGTTTTAAACACTTTTAATTTCCTCTTCCTTTTGTGTAATATTGATACTTCTCATACAGAGTGGCCCAAAAGTCTGGAAACGGCCAATTATCTCGTGAATTGCTAGTTATAATTGTACAAAATTTAAGGTACACCTATTTTGGGATACGGAGATTCCATATTTAATATTTGCAATGTTGCCAGATTTGCAGTTTCTCTTATATTATTAGTAACTTTGGTTTTTCAAATTCATCACCCTGTATATTCAGTCGTTATTGGAATTTCTATTTAATACGAGTTTAACCATATGTAACACTTATTATTTTATGCAGTTTGGAAGATCTTAAATACATAAAACATAAAGTCTGGCAACGCCTAATTGTCTCAATAAATTTTTTTAATATGCTATTTATTTAACTACATAATGGTTACTTTCTCAAGTATTCAAGATATGCTCCATGTGAGTTGACAGTACTCTAATCGATGGTAGAATGCCTCTACCACATTTTTCCATGATTGTCTTAAAATTATTTGAGAGTCATCGATATTTCGTTGCCATCGTTTTGCAAGACTTGCTGGTTTAGTTTTGTAAACTGAATTTTTCAAGTATCCCCAATAAAAATAATCTTTAGGATTGAAATCAGGTGAACGTGGAGGTCATTCAATTCTATCTCGTCTACCAATCCATCGTCCTGGAAATACCTCTTCTAAATAATGCTGAACATTTACACCAAATTTTGTAAAATTATGACAAGCAAGTTACAATTTACGAATAACGAATTTACTAAATAGGTAACCGTCAGTTAGACCGAAAAGAGTTATGAATGACAACAAAACTACATATAATGCAAAGTTTTGTTGAAGATCCACATACATCCTCACGCAGGGTTGGACAAGTACATGATGTAGGTCGTTCTTTAGTCTTACGTGTATTACATAAGAATATTTTTAAACGATACAAAATTAACTTATTGCAAGAATTAAGTGAAGATGACTTCGATCGTAGATTAGAGTTTACTGAGGTAATGATGGATAAGATGGAAAAGGATAAAAATTTCGTTAATAGAATATGTTTTTCCGATGAAACAACCTTTACACTGTGTGGAAGTGTAAATCGGCGCAATTTAAGGTACTAAAGTGACGTAAATACACACTGGATGCGTAAAAACCAAACACAAAAATTAAATTAATTGGGCCATTTTTTATCGAAGGAAATTTAACTTCAGATAGCTACGAAATGTTACTTAGAAATGAAATTGTACCTACACTGATAAACTTGTTTGGTGCCAATTTTATTTAGATATGGGCAAGATAGAGCTCCAGCTCATTTTGGTGGTAATGCTCGGGGTAATACTTAAAAGAAATATTTCCAAGACGATGGATTGGTAGGCGAGGTAGAATTGAATGGTCTCCACGTTCACCTGATTTCAATCCTAAAGATTATTTTTATTGGGGATACTTGAAAAATTCAGTTTACAAAACTAAACCAGCAAGTTTTGCAGAACTAAGGCAAAGAAAAATCGATGAATCTCGAATAAATTCTAGACAATCATGGAAAAATGTGGATGACGCATTCTACCATCGATTAAGGTACTGTTAACTCACAAATGGAGCACATTTTAAACACTTGATAAAGTAACCATTTTGCTTAAAAAATTTAGGCGTTGCCAGACTTCTTATTTATGTATTTAAGACCTTCCAGACTACATAAAATCATAAGTGTTACATATGGTTGAACTTGTATTGAAAATGAGATTCCAATATTGAGTGAATATACAGGGTGATGAATTTGAAAAACCAAAGTTACCAATAACATAAGAGAAACGGTAAATCTGGCAATATTGCAAATATCAAATATGGAATCTCCGTATCCCAAAATAGATGTACCTCAAATTTTGTATAATTATGTCTGGTAATTTACGGGAGAATTGGCCGTTTCCAGACTTTTGGGCCACTCTGTATATATGAATGTTAACAACAATGAAGTATGTTACATTCTCCTAACCGTTTCTGAGTAACTGCCTTTTTTGTAAAATTATTTTCTCAAAATATTTTGTAAATAAATACATATTGATTGGAGGTAATTAATTTTAAAGTTTTATTTTAGTTATTATTTTTTACTGTATTTACATCAAACACATGATGATGGTACAAACACTATTAATATTAATTTTTGTATGTGTATATACAAATCTATAAACCACTATAAAGTTTTTATAACATTAAACCTTTTATTTATTGTTTTAATTTACGCAGTGTTATTTTGTTAATAAACTGCATGTGAATACATTTTTGTGTACAAATTAATATTGGCTATTAGTACGTATGCTTAATTGTATAGTAATTTTCAGCCACTTTTAGTCTGTCAAAATATAATTAACTTCGCAAAAAAATAATTACTAAATTCACTAGACAGTTGGAACCGGAATTAGCGAACCGACCATACAATGGTTCTCTAAATTTATATATGCCATATAAGAATTTCTATGTTTTAGAAGTTAAAAAAAACTGGTGTGGGCCGGTAGAAGTTATACTTCTATACACGCGTTCGCCGTGACAAATTTATATATGAGTCAATCTGCACAATCGTTACATATTTCATGCTATAGGTAAGAGAGAGCAGAAAGAGAAAAAGAATTAGGTGTATAGGTATATGGTGCATCGTTTGATGTATATAAACATTTGACATGTAATAGTAGTATAGTAAATGAAGGATTGTATCGATATTTGAATGAAAATATATATTTTTATTTTCATATATGTATAAAAGAAGTTGAATGCAAAAAAATGTTTTACACATACTCTGCAGTAAAATTCATTATTTATTTTGTTATTAATATAAAAATTACAATACAATACACTGCAACATAATTCAATATAATAATAAAATAAAAATTCAAATGCAATATTTATAAGTATTAAAAACTGACAATATATATATAAACCAACAACTCGGATTATGTTTTAAATTTATATTTTATTGTAAAAAAAACCCTTTTTTTCGTATATTACATATATTTAATAAGATTAACGTGAGGTGTTTAAATATTTCAAAAATAAAAAGGGAAATTCATGTTGGGATTCGAACTCACATACACCAGCGTATGAACCAAACGCATAAAAGATGTGCCAATTAGACATGACAGTAACGGATTTCAAAATTGACAGTTCTCGGTCATACAGTGATTATTTTGAAATACAAAAGCCAATTTATTCAATTTAGCCAATATTTATGAACATTTAATAAATAATACAAAATATATAACAATATTATTATTAATATATATTATATTATATATGTATATATATATATATATATATATATAATATATATAATATATATATAATATATTATATATATATATATATATATATAATATATATATATAATATATATATATATATATATATATATATATAATATATATATATATATATATATTATATATATATATATATATATATATATATATATATATATATGTATATTATTATGAAAACAGAAATACAATAAATTAACTTAGAAATATATACAACCAGATATGCAGTGTTGATTAGTAGATTTATTTAAATAGTTACAAATAGGTTAGAGACATAATTTGTAAGTTATATACTAGATAATATTATAAAAAAAATAATTATATGAGGGTATTTTTAAGAATTTAGCATAAGAATTAAGTTTTAAAAATTTTTTTATTTTATTTTATTTAATATTTAATATGTTTACTCAGCCATGTGCTATGCAACCAAACATACACTGTAGTGTCAAAGTCAAATAGTTATTTATTTTTGGAATGTTAATTTAGAATATAATTGTGGATGTAAAATTGTAAAAATATAGTTCATATAAATGTTAAAGTTGCATATAATAGTGTAGTTCTGATCTGGAGAGCCTAAAGTCAAGTAAATTATAGATAGAAAACTCTAGAAATGTCAATAGGACTGTATAAATAATACATCACAGACAGGAAATCATTCCAGATTGTTCACATAGAAAAAATAGAAGGATTCGAACATGATTTATTGCTGGAATGTTCTGGAAAGAAAAAAAAAATATATATATATATACTGCCGTCCTAACATGAAAGGTCCTATCTGCAAAATTTAGGTTTTGAGAAAATCAAGTTTTTGTTTCTTTTCATTGTATAAAGCTTGGTAATTTAAAGAAGTCTTTATGTTTTATTTTATATATTATGTCAGAGAATAGAATTTAATTGCTAGTCAGAATTTTGTTTTATTCTTTCCAGATTAGTCGATTTTTGATTAAATTGCCACTTAGGACAATTTAGCTTAGTGTATCTGAAGTACGTTTTTTTGTATTACTTACTGAAATTGTCCTAAATAAAACTAAAATTCAAATTAACTGAACACTTTTAATTTTATTATACTAAGTTTTATAAAATAATAGAACAAAAAATAGTATTCCTCAAGAATGGAGATCAAGGGAATGGGAATTAATTTATGAAACACAACACTAAAATTAACAACCAAAGTGATAACAAATAAACTGAATGAAATTATAACACTGGCAGAAGAACCACAAGCTTTTAGGTCGGGAAGATTATGCATCGACGCTATATTTATAATGAGGCAAATGCAAGAGAAATCATTAGAATACAACAAACCGGCATATCTATGTTTCGTGAACCTTAAGAAGGCATTTGACTGGGTTAAACTAAAAGACGTTATCCACTTACTGTACGCAAGAGAGATACCTCCAGGAATAATCAAAACGATCAAAAATATCTACCAAAAAAACACAATAAAAGTAAAAGTAGAAGAAGAACTAACCGACCCTATTGTAACTGGCAATGGGATAAGGCAGGGAGATTCTATGAGTCCTTTATTATTTAACCTGATTATGGATAGAATAATAAAAAAAGTAACTAAAAAAGGATACCAAATGGTAGAAAAACAACTTAAAATAATCTACTATGTAGACGACGCAATACTGATCTCTCAAAGTGAAGATGATTTACAACTTATGCTGCACCAATTTAATA